CTCTTGTCAGTTGCCTAAAACTCTATGTTTTTCTTATTGTACTGTTTCGTTGACATGATCCCTACATAAAGGACAAGTGGCGGCAATGGCCGTTTTTTACTCCATCTCCGAATTTTATTCAGCTTTTCAAATCGACATCTTTACCTCAATGACGTAAAATTGATTTCACATAAGACGATACTGCTTTCATATAACTTCAAATGTTTGACAAAAGGTGTAAACAAATTAATTGTTATTCTCAGACTTTTGATAGAGACGATAATTATTAACTTTGCTAAAACCTTGTCTGAATTTACCGTCTATTAAATGTTAGAAGCGCATTTCCAGAAGGTAGGGCAAGTTTTGCGGTTAAAGACTAAAGCTATAGAGAAGCTTTTGTATTTTAGGTGGGGACTGTCTATCGGGTTGAACATTCTGGTATATAAACTGATATTGACTATAAAGGCAGAATACAGAAACGTGTACAAGGTAAAGTTTTTATTACACAAAACAACAAAGAGTAAACGCATTAATTTGTATGTCAAATAAAGATTAACCTATATGAAATGAAACCAAAACACCTATGCATTGGTATCAACATTTAATAAAAATGAGAAAAGGGTAAAAACATCTCTTATTTAGAAAGTATCTCTTTTCTAGGTTTTGGTCTCGCCTTCGACGAAAGGCGATACATATTATGTTGCTTTTCCGGCAACGACGAAGGCTGCGGTATCGTCGTCGTATGCGTCAACAATTATTAGGTTTTCTACTTAAGTCAGTTTGATAGGAACTACTTGTGAAAGATCAATGATATTGTCTCTAAAGTAACATTTACTATCAGTACATATCAGTTTTACGACTATTTCGAGGCCTTTCCCCCTAAGTCATGGTCCAGTGACATTCAGTCTATTAACAATTTTCCATGTTAAGTTTTCTGCTTAAATTAGGTTGATAGGGACTAACGTTGATACATCAATTATATATTCTATAAATTTGCATTACTATCGGTACATATCAGTTGAATAACTATTTTGAAGCCCTGTCCCCTAGGTCATGACTTTGAATTTATTAGCAATTTTCAATGTTATGTTTTCTGCTTAGGTCAACAACAATGCAAGCAACATTGTTTACCAGCATTTCAATCAGCATGATCATTCAATCCTTAGCTTTCTATGCAAGATTGCATCATCGAAAAAAATATACAACATGACTAACAATCTTCATCTTGCAACACCTCTCCGTAGACAAAAAAAAGATTACTGGATTCGACAATTGGGAACTGCGACACCATATGGTTGCAATGACAAAATTGATGGTATAGGAAGAAAGAAAATAAGTTGACCGTTATGGAATATCTGTTTCACAGATGACGACCGACATGTTCCAATTGTCGTAACTACCATCTCGTCCCCTTTCCCCCGAATATGACCTACCACATATCACCGGGTTTGTACTTACTTGAGCAACACGAATGGTGTCACATGTTGAACAGGATCTGTTTACCCTTCCGGAGCACCTGAGATCAATCCTAGTTTTTGGTGGGGTTCGTGTTGCTCAGTCTTTGGTTTTCATGTTGTTTTGTGTACTGTTGTTTGTCTGTTTGTCTTTTTCTTTTTTAGCCATTGCGTTGTCAGTTTATTTTCGACTTTTGATTGTGAATGTCCCTTTGGTATCCTTCGCCTCTCTCTTTATAGGAACTACTTGTGATACTATCGGTTCATATCAGTTTGACGATTATTACGAGGCCCTGCCCTAGGTCATGAGTTTGAATTAATTAACAATTTTCAATGTTATGTTTTCTGCTGAATTCAGTTTGATAGGAACTAATTGTGATAAATAATTGATATTTTTAATAAGTTGTATTACTATCAGTACATATTAGTTTGACAACAATTTCCAAGCCCTGCCTCCGTATGTCATGGTCCAGTGACTTTCAATTAATTACCAATTTCAATGTTAAGATTTCTGCCTCAGTCAGTTTGATAGGAACTTTTCATGATAGACAATGGTATGTTCTTAAAGTTGCATTACTATCAGTACATCTCAGTTTGTCGACCACTTCGAGGCCCCAGCCCCTTCGGTTATGGTCCAGCAACCTCGATTTAATTAGCAATGTTATTATTCATCAGATTTTCCTTTTCTATGAATTATGTTCAGACAGGAGAGACATATCTCTGTGTCAACAGTTTGTTCATTAAATATTTTATTTAAGCAATTAACCACGATGCAATGTTACATATATTTGTGATGCAATTAGCGCCAAACTATCATTGAAATGGTGATGGCCGCTAATTGATTCTTGTGTTTGACGTCGTGAAATAAACAGATAATTTCCCATATTATTAATTTGTATATTTTAACTAATTTGATTCGTTCAAATGTATAGTAACATGTCAAACCGTATTTTCAAAGGCAGATTGAAAACGTCGGATAGAAAAGTGATATTGCACAGTTGTTTTGAATATCTATAAAAAAAATATAAAAACTGCAATTCCGTATGACGCATTCCCCTTTTCCCCGAATGTGACCTACATAATTAGACTTATCACCGGGTTTGTACTTACAATAGCAACACATGGGTGCCACATGTGGAGCAGGATCTGCTTTCCCTTCCGGATCAACTGAGATCACCACCAGTGTTTGGTGGGGTTTGTGTTGCTCAATCTTTGGTTTTCTGTGTTGTGTTTTGTGTACTGATGTTTATCTGTTGGTCTTTTATTTCAGCCATGGCGTTGTCAGTTTATTTTCGACTTATGTGTTTGAATAAACCTTTTGGTATCTTTCGTCTCTTTTTTCCTAACAACCAATCAAACGAATTTCTGCCGAGCTTCCGGCGTATTGTCAATACAGCAGACGGGCCGTAGGGATAATGCCGCAAAAAAATTATTTGAGGTACTGGAAGACGACGAAAGGGGAATTGAATGCATAATATTGATAGCAAAAAACACTAAGAAGCAGACGAACATGGCATTAAATAGTTGCCATAAATACATGACGGAGAAAGGCCTACCGTTTGAATATTCAGCAGGACAATGACCAATTTGGCGAAGTTCAAGCTAAGTTTTACCTGGAAAAGAAAAAAAAACAAAAAACGGAGAAATGCACAGAAATGCACAAAACAAATCAAATATGCAATCATACCGACAAGGATTACAGCGGCATCTGCCAAAACACAGAGACATTGACATCTTAAATGAAAGGGGATTCTTTCAAGAAGTCGACCAAACCATTCAAATGTATGACAAAAGAGCTGAAACGACTTGGTCTTACTGTGTTGGAGCACTACCCATCCATTGCTGATGAGGACATGGAAAACATTTACAGTTATAAGGTAAATATACAAAATAAAGTTCTTTAATTTTCATTTAACATTTCTGACAATGTGTATTTAAATGTATAACTGCATATAGTGTATCAATGCTGTGCATATACATGTACATGTATATATATATCATATTCAAAATTTCATTTCAGGTTTTCGTGAACATAATGATACATTGTGGCTGCAGAGGCAAGGGGAACTTGCTAATTTGACAAGAAAAGACTTTGCAGTTAAGCGATATCCGAACACCGAACATTATTGCATACACGTGTACATGTATGTATTACATACAAATATTTTATACCAAAGATATGGGATTAACAAAAATGATGTTTGCGCACATATAATAAAATGAACAACAATTTGCATGTTAATACGTATACTATTCTCATTCAAATACAATCTTGCAATTTGACTTGAATTAATCATTGAAAAGTTAAGACAGTAAAAGGATGCTGTGAATATTTCTTTACAAATCAATTTAATGGAAAAAGACAAAATAGATGAGACTAAAGCTGATAGAATATGATATGGGGTCAATATCTGTGATTAACTACCTCATAACAAAACACGTCATTACTTGTCAGTCATTTAATTTTCCAGAAGGGTTGCTGTCTCTTTGACATATACAATATAGATCGCTACATGTTGTATACCCAAAATCTGTTTTAATTTTATTTCACAATACGATCAATATTTTATTCAAATGAAGCCATGTTTTATTTGTCTTTTCAGATAGTGACCGATGTCCTGTAAGATCATTTGTTAAATGAATTTGCCATCTAATTCCAAAATGTGATGAGTTGTTCAGCAGCCAAGATTTACTCGTAAAGAAGAGATCTATTACGACAATATTTCGCTTGGACACAACAAGCTTTGCAACTATAAGAATGAAATAAGCTAAGCAGCGGATCGGTCCAGAGAGTATACTTATTATTTTTATAGGGCGTCCACATTTTGGATGAATCTCACATTCCCAACCGACACATTATGAGTGTGACAGAGTACAAGTCGGAGGCTTCTTTAAATACATACAGTGGGAAAACATGTGAAAAAACCTAGAACGTAATGTCTGAAATAATAAGTGAAAAAAAAACTTGGTAGTACAACTAGTGTTCTTAAGCCGGCTACTTTGTCATCATGTCTAGATTTGTGTTTTATGTTTATCGCAAACTAATGTCACTGTTGACACTTAGGAAATATCGACTGTCACATTTGAAACATTTGATTTACAGCCTCTGTCAAATTCATAAACTTAAAATATGCTTAATGATGGTGTTGATAATTTGGTGAAATCACTTGAAATTCCAAAACAATCATTATGTGTACCAAATCAGTCAAAATCAGTAGATACAAACAATGACACGAAAACCATGATAGTTGGCCAATGTCAAGTTGCAGTATTTAATAAATAAGTAAAAGATCAAATAATGGAAGAGATTCGGAAATGTATTCATTGAAATTATACCAGAATTTCATTGGCCTTAACATAGTCTTCGGAAAAGATTAAATTATTTTGTGATATATACAAAAGTCATATAATTTCAACATATTGTTAAAAAGTTTAAAAACTGAAGTTTTGTTTCATGATAAATTTCTTTCAAAATGCCTTCATGGCTTAAAAAAGAAAATGCAATAGAATTAGGTCAATATACGTAAGAAAAATTAAAAAAAAAAAATGGAAAGAACAAATATGAGGTAAACGTAAAAGAGACTATTTAATATGTACAAAATGAAACTATTGATAGAAAAACAACATAAACGAAATAAATGCATTGACAATATTGATAGATAGAAATGGACGCCTACCACACATAATTGAAACAGAAGCTAATTTGATTTGAAAGTCTGATGCATTGACGCCTAACAATAAGAAATGCAATAAATGTAAATTTGGCGCAGTAAAAATGTAAATGCACCTTTTAGTTGTTGAGAAATAGGCACTATTTTGTAAAATCTATACAATATTCAAATCAGATTTCCAGTCAGACTTTTCACATTCAATTACTAGTCATTGAATAGATCCGAAATACTATTGAAATGGAATAACACTTCATGAATTTCGTACGTCCGAAATTCTTTTCTGGATTGACCTCCATTAAGAACTCTAAACCCAAAACATTCGAAAACCAGCGATGTAGAAATACGTCGAAACGTTAGTAGATATATGACTAAAGGTCACTAACAGGTAAAACCTGAAATATTATTATATGTCATTGTAATGTCTTGTTTTAAACTTTCATGACTTTTCATTCATTTCCATTTGATCAAAGTCTTTGTAAACACTATCGCTGGGCATACCACATTCTTTCGGCGGAGTGTTTCTTTTGATTCTGAAATAGAAGGAAAATTTTCAATGAATACCGAAATTAACTTTACATATACACTTTTCCAGATCTACAAAAAGCGCTTTTGAAATTGATAAATCAAAATTGGCAAAAACAGAAGAATATCATGTTGACTAAACTCGTGTAGTCACAACATAAGTTTATTTGAACTGATACATTTTAGTTTTTCATCGGATTTAATGCCATCAATATTGATATTTACATAAAAGTGTTATCATTTATCAGCAAAAAGTTTAGATTTTGGCAATTAAACCAGAAAAAGAGAAGATAGTACAGCGATTCATATCACTATTTAATAGCAGTGATAAGGTATCTTTTTGATGACAGAAAATAGAAGCAATGAAAATTGCATTCCAAATCCATAACTACAAAGCATCTTCTGAAAGTATCGTTACTGCATCTGGAAAATTTGAGAAAATGACACTTTTCCTGTTTTATCAAAACTAATTGCTATTTTTAGAACAAGAGAAAAGATAAAATATCTATGTAATACTTCTATGTAAATCAGATGTAATCGTTTCATATTTAATACATGTCTTGGCATCTGTAACTTTAGAAATGAGGCGTGTAATACCAAAAAAACGCATATGCAAAACAATTCCCTTTGCAAGTGTAAACTGATCTCTCATGATGAGTAGTACACTGTTACATGTATACATAGTACAGGAATGTTCTCTGGTGATCCAAATCCGTTACATTACATACACAATTCTCTTGGTTTACATTTATGGGGAACCATCAGAAGAAAGTTCTGAAAGCCACATGTTTTTTGAAGAGCGAGATTAATAACAGTAAATGGTCATTTCTGCCTGATGAGTCTTTAGTAATAGTAAACAATAAATCATATTTCTCACTTTACCCCCTCTCTTGCGTAAAAATCTGGTTTAAGTTGGTGATTCGTGCATATCAGTAGATTTATTACCCGATAACGTGCCCGCTACATGTATCTCTCCTTTTAGGGTTCATTCGATTCTCTTGGTATTGTTCCTTACCTAGATTTGTCTATTCTTAATCGATGTTTGCGGTTTTATCATCGGCAAACTACCAGTACTTTCAAATTAATTTAAGTTTTACAATATACTCCTAATTTCGTTTACGTTGAAGACAATTTGTATTCATGACTTGTACTTACGTATCATATTGTTTTTTTCGCTTGTACAGAATAAACGCAGAAACCAGAGCAGCTATGGCAATGACAGATAAAGTAATCCCTAGAATGGCTCCAATGGGTAATCCACTTGTTGTCGACTCTTTGTTCTTGACTGATGGCTGTGTGACAAGATCATATGTTGTATCACAGTATGCATATTTCAGATATTCATCAATTTGACATTTTGTTCGTACATCACAATCTGCTTTTGATTTTGCTGAATCAACAATACCGCCCTCTATCCATCCACAAAGACAGCTTTGACTTCCCAAATCTCTTGCGAGAAGGAGACTATCTTTGCTCGCTAGTTTCTTACCATTGTTTTTACATCCGGCCACTGCATCGGCATATGTGAAATCTTGCATAATTTGTTCAGCATAAATGACGTCAACAACGTTCCCTAAACGAAATTGTAAAAAAAGATCATTCAGGTGATAATCAGTTAGGAGTTTATGGTAGTTCATCAACCTTGTTATCCCTATAGTGCTTTCATTCCTACATGAATCCAATTTTAGTTGTTTTTTTTTTATCTTTGAAAGTTTCTTGGACATTTCTGCTTAGTTTTAAAAGATAAACATACGCGGATTTTTGTAAAAACATTTTGAATATCTTCTTTTTATTAGTATGCTTTTGATTTGTGAAACAATTTTTTGGAGAAAAACATTTTTATTAAGTTTAATGATTTAAGGCAAATGCTGACATTTTATGCTATATATTTACCTTATTAAAACGTCATCGATGAAAATTAGACTTTGCTTACATTAAGCTGAGATCAAACAGAAAGTATATAAAAAGAAGAAGATGTGGTATGATTGCCGATGATGCAACTATTAACAAAATTCCAAATGACGTAGATGTAAACGTAAGCAACTATAATTCAACGTAAGGCCTTCAGCAGAGAGCAAAAATTATACCGTAAAGTAAGCTTTAAAAGGCCCTCGCATGACACAATGTAACACAATTCAAAAGAAAAAAACAACGGCCTTATTAGTGAACAAAACGTATGATAGGCAGGTACATACATAATTTGGCGGGTTCAAACATGTAAACAAGCACTCAAACCTCCCTTAACCGTAAAAAACACAACGTTTAGTTCATATATGCAACTTAATCCCCTCGTTTGACCAATATGTTGCCATGGTAATAGGTATGGATTGTTTTCTTTTTCATTCCTAAAATTGTTTCAGGCTGTTAATTTATTTGTTTGATAATATTTCGTTTACATAAGCTATATTCTATTAAGTATTTATATATGGAGCAAGGCTGACATTTAAGTTTCTATATTTATTTGACGTTTCTACAATTTTGCAATGTTATTCATGTGTGCTTACCATTTTAAAAGGACGTATTTAAATAAAATACATGTAATTATATTATTTGAATATGAATTAAGCATCTCAGCTGTCCCGTCTGAGTGGGATGCACATTATGCCTTGTACGCAAGCCTCGTGGCGTCACGATAGCTAAACAGGCTTTGTTGGATGGATATGATTCGAGCAATGGTTACTGCCTGGAAGTACTTCAGCCGTTTTGAGGAGTTAAATATATGAATTGTCGATGTGTTTATTTTCTTTAATTAATTTGTTATTTGTTTTTTTTTTCTGCCTTGAGTATCTTTCAAAGTGCCGTGGAATATACCCCATTCACTTTATCTCAGAACCACTCCTTTTACACCATAATGCTGGATAGGATGTGTCGTTTTTTCGACATGAATTTTAAGTATGGCAATGGTATCCTTATTTTTTACATAAGCAGGCACTTAAGCAATGAATTAAATAATATTCAGCTATGTAATACCTACATTAATTATAAACTTACCACAGAACAATCCATTATGCATTGAGATGGTACCTGCAGGGCAATTCTGACATTGGCCATTATGGTAAAAACTATTGCCGTTACAGCAAATTTCACCTATCGCGTTTGTCTCCTAAAAAAAAAGATAAAAAGATATTATTATACTATCATAACTTTCTCATAAAAAAGTATGAAACATTGGACATTACGATCAGTCAACAAGAGATCTGAAATTTTGTAAATTGTCATTTTGAATATTCTTATTGTTTTTAAATATAGGTTTTGCCAAACTAAAAGGTAATCCAGAAGTCAACAGCAATGTTGAAAACGCATATCAACAAGTTTGATTTCCCAAATTATAAGGGGTCATAATAAAAAAATCATGTTTTGAGTGATTTTTAAGATCCTCATAAAATTGCTTAATTGCATTATTACAATAAAAATGAGGAGATAAGGTACTATGATTGCCAATGAGATAACTATCCACCAGAGATTGCCAATGAGACAACTATCCACCAGAGATTGCCAACGAGACAACTATCCAAAAGAGATTGCCAATGAGACAACTTTCCACCAGAGATTGCCAATGAGACAACTATTCACCAGAGATTGCCAATGAGACAACTATCCACCAGAGATTGCCAATGAGACAACTATCCACCAGAGATTGCCAATGAGACAACTATCCACCAGAGTTAAAATAAAGTTGAAGTAAGCAATTACAGGTCACTGTCTTGTTTCAACAATAAGATTAAACAATACCGTATAGTCGGCTATAAAAGTCAGGACATAAAAATTTTAAACAATTTAAACTAGAAAACTAACGGCCTAATTCGAACAAAACAATTTACGAAAAACAAATATGATAAACATAAATCAACGACAACCACAGTGTTAAAGGCTCCTGACTTGTTACAGACACATACATAATGTGGCTGGGTTAAACATGTTTGTGAGTACTCAATCCTCCCCTTAACCTGGGACAGAGGTGTTACAGCACAACATAAGAACAAACTATAAAAATCAGTTTCAATTGGCTAAACTCAAAAGATTGGTACGAGGAACAAAAACCACTAGCATAAAAACAATAGACATAAATCATCGAAATAAGAGTACTCACAGTTACAGAAACCTAGCTCAAAGCCAATACAACTAATAAATAAATTTGATCTCCAAGACTAAAGTATCAATCAGTACACATTCAACGCATTTGGTATTAAGACGTCACAAACAGTAATGTCAATTTTCTATGAAAAGATTACATAAAACTGTATATCAAGATATCATAAAATTCCGTTAAAATGAGTTTTCAACCATAAAACAGTTGTAAGGCAAAGTTTATGCAACCTTTTCAGGGTTTGACTATACTTTTTGTCCTTTCCGGTCGTACATGTAAACAAATGTGTCTGCTCTTCAAAGTTTGTTTTATGTACTGAACTTAAGTTCATCCCTGGTTTTGTGTCGGGTTCGTGTTTTCTGGGTTGTGTTTCGTATACTGTAAATTGTCTTTTGGTCGTTTTTCGTTTTTTGCCATGGCATTGTCAGGTCGTCTGAATGTCCCTTTAGTATCGTTCGTTTCAGTTTTGCTTTGATCATCACAGAAGAAACATTAATTGTTGAATTGCGCATATCGTTCAGTAAAATTGATATCGTTAATGTTAATATAATATATTTGTTAATGTGACAATGAAAACATTCTCTCAAAACTTCATCGCATAAATCTTGAGTTATTTCTGATAAGAATCGATATACTTGTCAATATTTTCGGTAAATTTCATGGCTTAAAAATAATCATATATTTCAACACAATGATTTAACTCTATAAGGAGAAATTTTAATTCATTACAATTATTTGATGTTTGTGAACAACCGGATAGGCCTAATATGGTTTTGCAAACCTTTTTGGTCCTATTATTTTTCGGTGCTCTCCAACTTTGCTATATATTTTGCTTTCAAATTTGTTTTTGTTTAATTCAAGCGCCAATGATTAGTCGGATGTAAATGAACCACGCGTCTGGCATACTAAATTACAAACTTGGTAACTGGGTCGATTTCAATGCTTGTTGATACGGTAATTTTCTGACATTTACTGTGTAATGGAAAGTAAAAAAATCATTCAAAACACTTAGATTTCTACTCAATGGCATAGGTCGCCTCGACCAGATAAAGGCATTACTTTGCTGCATTGATGTACTTTCCAATATCGGAATAAACACATTTTTTCTAGAGATTATTGATATGTACACTGTGACCGTTTAACTCGCGAACTGAATAAAAGTAAAAAAACAAATGGAATTATCGACCGAGTGAACACATCAAAAACCTCTGGAAAGTATGTGTTCAATCTTTGTAATTCTCATCTGAACCATTTGCTACTTTTTCTTTCAATTTAAACATGTGCATCACTCATGAATTTATCACAGTGAAATCTACATAATGTTTATATAGGCTACAATTAAACATGGTCCATATAAATGCAAATCATGGAAAAGTATTCTAACACACCAATCATATTAGAGTATTTGTAAATATGAAACTCATATAAGCAGTATTGCTCTTCATCTTCGTTATCGAGTTGGCCTACCAACTGTTTAAAAACAAGTACTTAAGAGTCTTATGTACACGAAACGAGTATCAAGCGAACTGAATTATAAGCCTGGTATTTTCTCATTAGTTTTATGCCCCTTGTAAACGTGATTTGTCGGTAATATTTTCTGATGATCTTTTACCGTACTACCTGACCATTAATATTATTTTTACAATGAGTATTAAAGTTGTACAATGGAATGGCGAAATAATTTATTAAAAGTTAAATCAACTTTTGTCACCCGCATGTTACACACTTATATCTGTGTATTTAATTGTCACCCGTATAATACATACAAATTAGGCACAAATTTATTTTTTTTATCTGAAATGCTTTTAATGCATGATAAGTTACATTTTGAAAATAAAATACCCTTTGGAAGTATGTAATCGATTTATTAGATTACAATTGATGAATTAATGTCTTACGTGCTTCTCCTTTTTCTCCGTTCATTGGGATCACCAGGGTCAATAAAGCAATATTTTATTCCAACTTTAATTGGAACTCCAGTGGAAGGGGTGGAAAGATGGAACTTTTCTAATCCAGAAATTCTAATATCTAGTTGACCGTATATGGATGGTTTGATTTTATCAGAAGGGATGACACTTTCAGCACCTATATAACATGAAATATGTTGCGAAATGCCACATCAATAAATTTATTTTAACACAACATATCAATATTTCTTAGATTTTCTATGTGTTCGAGTTGTTCCCTATTGGATCTTGAGTCTTAATAATGCATGTATGGACAGCTTACCTTGAAAATTATTTCATTATTTGTTTCAATCAAAACCTAGCGTGCAAAATCAATGCATTATTATGATATATGTGGCATCAAAATTCCTCAATTAGTATCGCAAACCCGGTATTTCTAGGCGGCAGATAATTTGTTTGCAAGAGAATTTTATAAAATGTTGTCGTAATTTATCCTGTCAACTCACCCGAGACTGCTTTATTGTACGCATGAAGTTAATGTGTTTTCCTATGACATTTCTCTTAGTTTGTATATTAAAAAGTATTCGCGAGTTTTAAACATCGGTAAACTAAATTAAATGTTTCCTCGTAGTGTAATAGTATTTAAATCTTTATATTTTTTTTTTTTAAATTAATGCTGTTTGGTTGAAAATTATTTGATGTTTTTTTTTATTCATACCTAGTGTTTGAATGCATATCTGTTGCATCAAATTCCCTCCATCAGTATCGCAAACCCGGTATGGATTTTCAAGTTTTTTTTGACGGCATATACTGTCTTTGCCTAGAGAATATGACATTCGCATCGGAACGGATGGTGTTATGATATACTCAGTTCCGTCCTTGTAATCATATAATCTGTTTCCAGTATTGCTCGGTGTAACAGTGACTTCAACCTAAATCAGAGAAATATCATTATATTAAATAGTCTAAAGTTACCAAAGAGGGAATCAAAACAGGTCAAAGCGACATGGCAAAAAGAAAAACAACAAAATTCAAACAACTTACAGCTAACAAGTTACTAGAAAAAACTAAAGACAAAGACTGAGAAACACAAACCCAACTAAAATACGGAGGTTTATCTCAGGTGTTCCGGAAGGGTGGAAAATTCCTACTCCCTATGTGCCACCGTCGTGTTATTCCTATAAAATATGCTAAGTTATATCACGTGATAATGCAAGGACAGCAAATGACCAGATAAAGATTCGTTTATCATACAAATCAAAAACGGTGTTCTGAAAATATGAATACAAGATTTTTCAATCAGAAAAGTAGTTACAAAAAAAACAGTAGTTACACTTTTTTTTATAAAACTGGTAGTCAAAAATTTTATTTTCAAGTGGCACATTCCATAATTAAACAATTACTTTAAATTCTTAGAGGTAAATGAATCGATTATACAAACATATTAAGATTCTCAAAAATTTTGATTATAAAACCGCGATATACGTATACCCCTGTCTGTATTTAGAAATATAGTTGCAGTCAATATAGACTGTTTGAGAAATTAAAAATAAAGGTATTACACATGTAACTGTGTTTTTTACTGTTTTTAGTTACCTGATTTGAGGAGTTGGTGTAAACTGGCAGGTACATTTCAAATCCTTCAATATAGATGGCATAGCTGTTTTGGGCTTTCGTTATCCATCCATTGTCAATAAGCCATTTTGAGTTTGGAACTTGAAATTGAACAGTTTCACCTTTGTATATCTTTGATAAATCAATCCAGTCTCGAATTGTTCCATTAAATGAACTTGGTTGAGTCGGCAGATCTACATATTTCAAAATTTGGTTGCAGCTGACATCTTGCAATGACAGTAACCTATCAATATTTGTAGAAATACCTTGACAGTCATTTGGTTTTCTTCCCATTTTGTATTCTAGGATGTCACAAAGCATAAACACGTTAGTAAATTGTACAATGCTGTTTGTTATATATGATGCAGCTGCAAATGATTTTATTTCCAAAATTGTTAAACTACTTGGAAACTTGGCACGTGTTCCGGAACCAAGTATTGATGAGCTTTGTATTTGTGTCAGTGATCTCATCAACGAAGCCATCTTCTCCAGCAGATTTTGCTGAAAGTCATAGATTTCTTCTAATGACACCACAAGTTTTGTAGCTTCTGCCTTTGCGTTTGGACAAGCATTTGTAGCCCATATTGTTGTTTTAAACACCGCTGATGCTATACCACTTGTTTGTTCAATTGATGAACATAGGTCATCAATGAAACCTCCCCAATAACTACTCAAAACAGACAACTCGACCTTCTTAAGCTTTCCGGAGTACTTTCCGTAATGTTTAAAAAAATCAGATTGCAGGCTGGTAAACTTTTCGTCAGATATTGATTCTGGTGTGACTCTGTCTATGATGTTCTTGATTGTCTGAAGTAAGGGTGCGTTTTGGTTTATTTTTTTGCTGATGTCAGCAGATTGTTTTTGAAGTTTTGTCAAATAACCTATTTTAGAAATGGCTTTAGCAACAATTGCAGTAGATTGCGCTACTTCCCTGGTAGCTTCCATAACATCAACTGTATTGCCACTATTAAAAATCCATTTAAGAGGATTTGATGCTTCTGCAGCACGTGCTACTAATTTTACTCCTGCTTCAACTAAATCACTGGCGGCGGCCGATGTAAAAGCCAGCAAAAGACCCGTAATTTTGTTCTTTAAATTTTGTTTGGCTTCTTCGTGAACTTTCTTGTATGAATCAATACTCGATTTTATACTTGCTATATCTGCAGTTAATTTTTTACTTTCAAACTCGGCTATGCTTTTGAAATAAGTTCCTAGTTGTTGGAAGCGATCTTGAATTTCGTTTTTTATTTGAACAGCAGCAACTTGCAGGTCAAGTGACATTTTCTGACTCAGTTCTTTTATTTGTGAGATTCTCATGTTCTTTATGTATTCATGATAATCAATCGATGTTACCAAGACCTTCCTTTTTGACGTATATCCAGAGACACTTGTTCCATACGTAAGAACAAATGCTCTTAATTGGTCTAATGTTTTAGCGAATGCACACAGAAGCCAGTCAAATGATGGATATTCGGCCATAAAGTTGCATTTAACAGCAGAACTTTTTGGAAGTATTTTTAAAAGGTCTATAGTCTTGGTCAATTGTTTTGATTTGAACTCATCATAAAAGATATTAAGAATTTCTGTCGTTATTTGTGTGATTTCACTTTTCTGTATTTTAGATTTTTGAAGCATGCTTTGTGGTGCTTTTTGGAATAAGGTAAAAATTGAAAACTTTGCAGCTTTGATTTCCAATGAAGATTCATTCCAATCTGCCTCTGTCACCAAACCACACAGATTATCTATAGAATCTACCAGTTCAAAAAAGGGAACCAGTTGACAATATGGGTCGTCACGGTTGATTAAACACCACTCTGAAACTTCAGAAAATAGATGTTCAGAAACATTCTTTCTGAACGGTTTAGTCCATGAACATAAATTAGATCGTGTTAACAGATTATTTTCAAATTCGGCAGCATATTTCCACTGAGCTATTGGTATTTTTGAGATCTGATCAACAGGGCCGCAATCTAACTTTAATAAAACTGGATCAAGGTACCAGGCCGAGAGCTGAACTGAATACATGTATGAATTTGTATCGTGTGCACTGCCCAAAACACTGCTAAGTCTTTGTAAATCGTTTTTCATATATTGCCCTATTTTGTATAAACGTAAGAACACACAACGAGCAGTCGAAGTATCAAATCTATTGCATTCTTCTTCGGTAGCATTAATATCAGTCATGTTATTAAATATAGGATTCCCTACTTTAAATAGTTGATTATGATATAGGTTTTCAAACAGGTCGAAATCAGGACCGGAAGCTTTAGGTATAGCAGGTATTGCGAATATAATACATATTTTTCTTATTTCATTATTCGTAGATTCATTATCAAAGATTGTTGAGGTGGCAGTTTTTAAACACACACTTTGGAAGATCACTATTAAATACCATTGAACAGTAGACATGATAACTGCTAAAAAATACAATGAAGATAAAATAATGATGTATAATTCTTGTTAATTTACAAAACGTTGAATATTTGAAAAGCATATTAATGAGCGAAAGTCACTCTTAAATGATACATGTATATAGCATCTCTATAGATTTAAAAAGATGTGGTACTATGTTTGCCAATGAGACAATTGTACATGTCAATACTTTAACATCAGTATAAACTAAATACAAAATATGCAACCTTAAACTGAACGGTAAGTTTTACTACAAGTCTGTAAAAGTGAACATGGTGTACCAAGATGTCCCCTTAGCAAGGATTTTTTAAAGGCTCTACCATGCTAAAAAATTAGAATTGAAAGGTATTCTTTCTTCAAGAATCTGACAAAATAAATGATTTTATACGGTTTAACTATTTGATTTGCAATTTGAGCTACTAGAAAATATTACAAGCCGTTTTTAAAATATTCACAAATGTCCACTGCGTAACGATATATGTCCCCTATGAAACGGTATGTGTCCACTTCGCAACGGATTGTGTCAACTTCGAAACGAATTGTTGCGAAGTGGACCGTTGCGCAGTGGACGTATTTACATGTTAGCAGGCCATTGTTGTTACACGCGGTTCTCCAATACATGTTTTTATGATTATTGTCATAGATAATACATTTTATTTCATAAACTCCACGTTTTTTTATGATTTGAGGTCAACATTTCTTAAAAAAAAAGACGTTGCAAAGTGGACAAATAAAAAAGTACGCTATCCGAATAGGACTTGCAAATTGATTCAATGCAGACGAACTATATCATCAGCATCCAAAGATGACCGCCATTTTACTAAATGAAGTTGTATTAGTGGCAAGTAAAAGGAAAGATCATTACAATTTTAATGAAAGGATGATTATAATTATGCCAATTGTTTGTTGTCGTTGCGAAGTGGGCATTTTTTCATGGACGCCACTTAAAATCTGATAGCACAAATCTATTTGAACTTATCTAAATATTTTAATACTTTTTGCAATGTTCAGATGTAGCTCTATGACAAAACATTGAAAAAGGAGCAAAAAAGATTGGTAAATTGTATTAAATTTTGAAGATTTGAATTAACTTTCAAATGTGGACAGAGCGTTTTTGTTGTTTTTGAGCACTTTAATCTGATATTTTCAGAGAGTCTTTACCACAAAGCAGACAAAACGTGTTGTCGTTGTCTTTACCCTAGGTACAATTTATAGACTGAGACAAAAAAAAAAATACATATGATTTTACCACAATTTAAGCCCTTGACAGAGAAAGTGGACATGTTTTGAAAAACGCCCACCTGAAGAATGAAAAACAACCATCAGTTAGTAATTATCAATAGTGATACATCAAAGAGTCATAAATGTCAAGTAATAAGAATAAGAGTTTAGAATAAAGTAAATATTGCATTTTTGCCAGAAAATTGTAGGTAACCCTCAGTAGTCAATATTGTGTGTGAGTGCCGATTTCGAGGCTATATAACGTAACTAACATGATCCCGATAACTTTTACTCCAATTGCCGTCTATTTTATACATGGACTTGTTAGTAAACTTAAGATTGGTATACTTTTATTAGTTTCTATGTAATTTAAGAATTTACCCCCCAAAAAATTCGACGGACTTACAGTTTCTTCGATGTTAAAAAGTGACAGAATATGGACAGTTACATGTATGTACATGTTCATGTAACAACAATTGATTTGATATTAAAGTAAGAATATAACAGACATAAATGATGTCAAATCAAGAATAGCCATTAAAAAATTACGTGCAAACGAGGTGAATCAGGACTGCTATAAATAAATCTTACCACAAGGAAGTTATATCGTCTTATATTTAGGTGAATGGTTAAATAGGGCACATTTATTTTTAGAATATAGCAAAGTACTCTCGACCAATGAAATTGTAGAATTGGATGCCTCTTAATTGTGAAGAATGAATGTAAATCATGTTCTTAGTAAGGGATTATCCTATTATTTGGGTCTATTTACAGTTCAAAACAAAGAGTTTCTATAAATGAGTTACAACTGCCCCGAAGCACATTTATCAGATTGAAAGGATTTATCACACAGTTTTTGAAACTGACTCAAAGTTGAATTGTGAAACAAACAAAAATCTCAAAATAAGTTGAAGTTTACTGGTGCAGTAAAATTGGTACCGTGAATTTTATTATGAAAATATTAATAACTTCAAATTACTATAAAATTAAACAATACCAAAGCAATGCAAAAAAAATCAAAAAAATCTTTCAGATAAAAAATAACCTAAATCTTATTGGCTGTGAAATAAAATTTAGTTGTAAACTCAAATGTATTAATTGATTTAAACTGTTAATAAAAAAGGATAATTCCTCATTAAAATATTACATGATTTACATTCATACTCACAATCAGGAAACATACAATTCATACCTTTTCTTTCTACTGTTGTGTCACCTAATATCTATAACGCATTTAAAAAAAAAAAAATCCCAAATGATAAGAAAGTCCTCACATCACCAAAACTTATCCATAAATGACATGCCGAAAAAGGAAGTCATGCATCAATTATAAACATTGCACTGACAATGAAACTAATTCTTGAATAGATCATTTGAGCCTTGAGCACTTTACAATATTCTAAGTTTGTAAGAGAATGATAATCCCTTACTTCATGATAAGTACTCGCTAACGCTCGTACTTATTCATGAAGAAAGGGATTATCATTCTCTTACATATACGAAGACTTTTATTTAACTACCTGTCTAAAGACCTTTAACTCTTTAATTATAATATGTACTCAAGTTATCTAAGTGAACAACCTGGGTATTGTATTAAACGTAGTTATTTACTTAACGCAAAATAACGGCTATTTAATTTCTTCAAACCGATTTATCATAAAAAAAAAATGTCAGCTTTTTTAAAACCTTATTCCCTTGTTTTCAGCTTTGAATATTTCCCTAAATTTCGAAATAATTCGATTTACATACAAAACGATAACTTGTGGTACCTTGTCTGTAGTTAATACGGGTGCCACATGTGGAGCAGGATCTGATTACCCCTTTTTGTTTTTGGTTAGGTTCATGTTGCTCAGTCTTTAAAAGGCCAAAGATCAGAAAATGATACAAGATATAAAATATAAAGCTCGGTCATTAAAAGGTTATGTTCCGTGAACATGCGCTAGATTAAACTTGAAATTAAAACAAAATGTATTCATATTCTATCTTCATGAAATATTGTATCTATTAATTGTAAAACTTATTTTTTTCATTTCTTTGCTTAACCTTTATTCCCTGAAAGTTCAGCAACTCGTCCCAGGGTTACCCAGACCAACGCTGTTATCTGGATAAATTGTTATATAGCAGTGGTGGAATAACGTTATATTTAATTGTTAAAAAGTGTTATGCTATTCCATACACCTATGTGCTTTGGTAGACTATAAGAAAAAAGATACTTGGAAAGGCAACACGAGTATGCGCACATCAGTTTAACTTAAAACTGTGACCAGATCTTATAAATCTTCATACATGTAGCACTGCAACCTATACCTATTATATACTGAAGCATATATATTAAGAGAAACCATTGAAAACAATTAACAATAATAAAACCTTTTTTTCAAAGCCGTAATAGCTATAAACTCATCATCGATATCAGGACTAAAATGTTTGTACGACAGACGCGCGTTTCGTCTACAAAAGACTCATCAGTGACGCTCGAATAAAAACAGCAAACACGGCCAAATAAAGTTCGAAGTTGAAGAGCGTTGAGGACCCAAAATTCCTATTTTTGAATGGGTTGTTTTAAGATCTCTTAAAGTAAAGTTGTTTATACAGAAATTTATGCAAATTTTAAAGGACCGCTCTAAAGCATGTTCGTAATTGTTGCAGTAATTATATGCATATGTTTCATAATTATGTAACTCTGATATACTTTTTTTTAATTCCGTTATCAAGCAATTTATAATAATATAATTCGATTTACATACAAAACGATAACTTGTGGTACCTTGTCTGTAGTTACAACGGGTGCCAAATGAAGAACAGGATCTGCTTACCCCTTTTTGTTTTTGGTTAGATTCATGTCGCTCAGTCTTTAGTTGTGTTTTGTGTACTGTTGTTAGTCGTTTGGTCTTATTCTTAGTTTTGCCATGGCGTTATCAGTGTATTTTCGACTTATGACTTATGAGAATGTCCCTTTGATATCTTTCGCCTCACTGTTACAACATATATTCGTGAAGGAAAGATAGTTTTCTTTCAACATTTGGGTTTTTAAAGATATGTGTACATATACCTAAATTCTATGAGGTTTTTAGTTCGAATTAATACCAACGATCTCGCTGAAATATCTACAGAGTACCTACTTTTTTTTATCAAACAAATGCTTCCAGTCTTTCGTAGGTGTTATTAAGAGAGAACAACCAGACGTATTTGTTGCTTAGGGTATATGCTCCTATACTTTAAGTTTTTGAAATAGCATTTTTATTAACGTATTAAACCCTACATCTCCTTTTATTCGTGATTTTCTTTTTCTGTTATCTGATCACGAACAAATGCAATTTTTGAATTACACAAGATTGGTTATTTCAACCTACGCTGTTGATGACGTTGCTGTATAAAATTTTACCCCAATAAAGTCACCGAGTACCAAGTAGAAGGCGGGGAAACTGTCTTGTAACAGTACTTGGTTAAAGTAGTTTGAGTTTGCTTTCTGTTTACCTTTAATGTCTGTTTGTTTTGTTCACACATTGTTGTCAATATAATGGAATTTTATGCGACTGTCATACAAGTGAGAGGTTTAGCTAGCTATAAAACCAGGTTCAATTCACCATTTTCTACATAAGAAAATGCCTGTACCAAGTCAGGAATATGACAGTTGTTATCCATTCGTTTAATGCGTTTGAGCTTTTGATTTTGCTATTTGATTAGGGACTTTCTGTTTCGAATTTTCCTCGGAGTTCGATATTTTAGTTATTTTACTTTTTTGCATTCAGCTACTATGAACATTCTTCGATACGGT